TTGATGGGGACAAGATACACTTCTTAAATAAGGCTTTTGAAGAACCCCTGCAGGTCTGAAAAATCCAAATGCTGTTTGAATGCTGCCCACGGCTGGGAGCACACAACCTCTTGAGTGGGCTTCTTCAACGCCATGGCAGTTTTGCCTTTGGGGAGTTAATTTTTTTTGAACATGTTAAGCCTAAATCTACCACCTTAAAACTTCAGTCCACGTGATCTAATTTTTTGTCTTCTGGGGCTGCCAACAACCCATCCCCACCTGGAAACACTTCTCTCGGCTACATATTGACCATTTAAATACCTGAGGCCAGCTGCCCGGTCTCTACTCAGGGCAAAACAACGGTTCGTCGTACCCAAATTCAGTGCTCAGTTTGGGTAACTTTTACAAGGTGGTGTGTGGCAGTGGATGTGACCCTCCCAAATGAACCTGACAGGTGTAGGACACTACCTCCCGGGACACGCCCCACTGGCACACCAGGCCGCATTCTACACAATCCCAGTTCGTGCCCAGCCTGGTCACTGCACACAAATCACTAAGCCAGGTGTCCTCAGTTTGGTTCTTGTGCAACTGATTTTTTTTTTTTAACCTGGGGGTGGGGTATGCTGTTTTTACCCAACACCTTTCATCTCCTGGTTCCAGTAGAGTGTTCGAGATGCAGAGTATTGATTCTGTCATTCAGCACATCAGCTCTCCCTAATGACTCTGTGTCATCTGCAAATTTGATAAGCGTGCCTCTGATGTCTTTATCAAGCCCCTGGTTCCACTGCTCAGCAAGCCAGGGGGCAGCAGTCCACCAGGGGCCCTCTCCCGGGACGACATGGAGCCACTCATTTATCCACACTCTGTGGCAACCGGTGCTCCATCAATTGTGAATCCACCTGCCTCTCAGAGCTCTTTCAAACCTTGGAACTGGCAGCAGCAGAACCATATGTGAGACATGGTGCGAGAGGAGGAGCGGGGCCTGCTGTGGTTGAAGTGGGAAGGTGCTTCCTCTACCTGCCCTCTGCCCCAAGGCAGCGGCATGGAAGAGCATCAGAAAAGCCTGGATCCACACACCAACTGTCTGCTTCTATGTACCAGGCTGACTTGCAAAGCTGAGGCCAGTCCGTCAGACAGATGGGGAGAGGGGACGGTGCCTCAACCCCCAGGCCAGCCTATGCTGAGCAGGGTGCACGGAGCAGACAGGCAGAGGGTGGAGCAGCCTGGAAGCCCAGAGAGAAAACGGGGGCTCCCCACTCCTCGAAGAGGTGGCACGCCCTTCTCAATTGGAAATGGTCAGGAAACATGTGCAGAGATGTATGCGTGTGAGAAGAGCCACTGAACAAGGAAGAGGTCTGCAGAGACACATTGTCATCCTGTCTTTTGCCATGAACTTTACCAAACACTGCATCCGATTCACTGGATACAGCCAAGGGGCTCCCTCTTCTCTCCAGGGGCCCAACCATTCTGAAAGGACAACTGAGATCTGGCCTCCCGACTAGCATTCCCTGCAACAACAGGAAGGAAACAGGCAGGAAGCGCTTGTTCCTAGGGCTGGCACCTGCCTCTAGAGAGCGCAGTTCTGCTAGGACCATGAGGTCCTCAGGTGATGACGCATCAACTCCGGAGAAAGTCCACCAACCGCTCCTTTTGCCTGAAATAAGCTGGGGATAACAGCTCTCCAAAAAAATGGCACAGAATTCTTTGAAATATGAGTAACAACATAAGAAATGGCACAAGTTTTTAGTTTTTTTTTGTAGCTAACATTGTCTTTTTCTTTTTTTATTATGTTATGTTAGTCACCATACAATACATCATAAAAGCTCGAGCTCAAGCTGGCAACAAGGTCTGCTACTGGCCCTCCTTTGGTCCCTTGCAGTACCCCCCGGGGATTTGCTGGGAAAAGGGCCTGCTATCCCTTGCTTGGAACCAGCACGCTAGTCCTCCTGGCCACCTCCAAATCTGGTCAGTAGAGGGCGCTGCACCACCGCACACGCTCGCTCTCTCTAGCCCTGCTGTGCCACCTGATCCCTGCGTCCACACAAAAGACCACACTTGGAAGTATTTCTTATGCTTACGCTCTAGTCAGAAAAGGACCCAAGGAGTGCTCAGAGACTCAGCAGTCGTCAGGGGCAGGGGGGAGCTGCAACACAGGGTCCTAGGCTGTTGGAGAAGCATTTGCTGCAAAACTGAGCACGTGCCTGGATCTGGGCGGAGTGCTAGGAGGTAACAGGCACTGGACATGGTTCCTGCCCTCAAGGAGTTCACAACCTGACCACAACCCAAGGTGAAGGCAGGAGGGCTGAAAAGAAGCATTCAGAGAGGAAAGCCCAGCCCAGGCCCAGCCCCAGGGTGTTCAGGGAAGGCTTCCTGGGAGAGGCATCTGAGCCAACATCTAAGACAGGGGTTTGAGACACATCGTTGTATAGCTGTCCACGGGAGCAAAGGCACAGAAACACGAAAAAGGAAGGGAAGGAGAGACTACCAGTTTAGCTTAAATTCTGAAGCTTAGGGATGGGGGAGAGGAGAGGTCCCAGGAGCTGGATTTGGAAGCCTTCACCCTACGGGCCCGCTGCAGACCCCCACACCAGGAAAACAAGTGTCTCCCGCAGCCCACCACCGGAGAGAAAGCTATCAGATTCCTCTGCTGGGGAGATCACAGACCTGAAGCCTCAAGGAAATAAGGTGCTCTTCATTTCACAAACCTTCAGTGGAAATTCTGAGTGAAACATCAGCATTTCATTTTTTTAAAGTCAAAGGTATTGAATAGGAAAACAATACAAAAAGCAAAGACACCCCCCCCCTCCACGATTCATTAGGAGGCTCAGAGAGATGTGCGTACCACCTGGAAAGGACTGCCCAGCGAAAGAGAACTGGGGACAGACATTTACCCGGAAGCATTAATGTAACATGCGATTATCCTTCGGCGTACCAGTGGGCTTAACCTTACAGCCACATGGGAATACGTTTTTATCTTATTTATTTTTAAAGATTTATTTGAGGGAGAGAGAGACAGAGATAGCAACAGAGAAGAGGGAGGAGGAGAAGCAGGCTCCCAGCTGAGCAGGGAGCCCGACATGGGGCTTAATCCCAGGACCCCAGGATCATGACCTGAGTCAAAGACAGACGCTTAACTGATTGAACCACCCAGGCACCCCGGCAGTACACTCTATATGGACTAATCTGACATCTATTTCATTTGGCAAGTAAAACAAAACCGATCCAATTTCCTTGTAGCCCTTGTAACCACAAACTGTACAAGAGTTTTACATAAAATACATAAACCTTATAAACCTTTTGTTCTAACGCACTACCTTCAATTCTGCCTGGCTTCCCGTGGCCTGCGTTCTCGGGCCCTCTCGCTTCAGCTGCTAGTGACCGTGTTCTCTCGCTGCCTGGCAAGCTTCCGGGGAGGTCGCTCTTCCTGCTTTAACTGGGAGAAGCAGTGCTCTTGATCCAACAGAAAGTTATAGCCTGCCCGGAGGTGGGGTCCAACCCTTCCAGACCATGTGATGTCAACAGGCAGCAGCTGTAACCATTCCAAAACTATGGGTTTGAGCTGACCCCGGGCACAGGTGATGGGCCTGAGCTGACCCCGGGCACAGGTGATGGGCCTGAGCTGACCCCGGGCACAGGCGACAGCACGCAGCCGTGCCGATGCTCTGGGTATTGAGAAAGGACCGTGAAAATGCTGACCTGAGCTGTGTTAGCCCGGTACCCCTAAACTGGAGACACTCCACTGCTCACCCTGCGACTCTGGGAAGCTCACTGGCTCTTCCTGTCTCTTCATGCCAATTCAAGACTAAAAACTACTTGTCAAGTTTCAGGCCATTCCGAGTAGTCAAGCTGAAGTATCACTCTGGGTTTGCGAAACTGTCGCCAAGAGAGACCAGACCCGAAGGACAGAGTCCTCTGCGCTGCTGGCTCACGACAGTGGCGCTCTTCTGAGGGGGGGCAGACGCTCAGCCAGAGGAACAGGGCGCAGAGAACCGGCGGCCACACCACCCTGTCGTCTGCACCTCCCGGAGGGCAGGGTGTGGTCTGTGGGCCCCGGAGGAGCCCCACAATCTGTTCCTGACAGACACTGTTCATCTCTGTTCACCCATGTGGAAGCTTTTAGACTCATTCTCGTTTATGCTACCTCCATCCCCGAACAGCACTGTCTCACCAATTCTTGTTTTATTTACTTTTGTAATCACTTTCTCAAATTTAATCCCTCATTGCTGTTTGTTCCTTGCCCTCAAATAATTCACTACTAGTAAGGCACAGGGTGTTTTTTTTTTTATTATTGAACTATAGCTGACATACATTGTTATATTAGCTTCAGGTGTACAACACAGGAAATCGACAATTCTCAACATTAGGCAATGCTCACCACGATAAGTCAGCGCTGAGAGGTAAGAGTTGTTTTTTTTTTTTATTTGACAGGATTCTTTTTACCACCTGCTTTTTGCAGAGACCATGACTACCTCTATTCAACTGAAATCAGGTGCAGAGTGACCCGTTTGCTCACCTAAGTTTCTTCGTGGAATTACTGAAACCAGCTCCCCCAGAAACCTTCTCGCTATTCTCTCGTACCCAAACTACCCATTTCTTAGTTTGTAGCTCACTGGGAAAAGAAACAATATGAAAACGAGCAAAATTACTTACCAACCCTCAAATGAGTTGTTGACCAAGGCAGAGAAGGAATTCTGCCTTCTTATGGCCAACCACATGGCTACAAATCATGTGTCTGTGTGCAGCTATGAGCTCTTTAGAATAGCCAGCCAATTTGAAGTTGAATATTCTGCTATCTTAGGAGCCTGCAGAATACGTACAAGATAGAATACAGAATGGCCTTTACATTCGTGTAATGCAAACATTTCTAATTGGATTTTTAAAAATCTCTTCTAGCGGTGTATTGCTTCTGCAGTTTTCAGTAGATACTAAGTGGAGGTGTTCTAAAATGTCACGCAGTGAGACCCAAGACCACATCACTGTAACATGCATAACAGCACAGGGCACCACTGACGAGGCCTCACCTGGGGAGATTGGGGGCTGGGGTGGAAGCAGCTGATGACTGGGAAGGTGTTGTGGGTTGAGATGAATCATGATTCCTCGGTACTTTGCCCATTCGATACCAGATCCCCATGCTGTTCAGTTCCCTTTAGGAGAAAACAGAAATCTTCATAGTGTGGCTCAGCACAAAGCATTTACCTGAGCAACAAAGCAAACCAACTCATTTAAAAGAATCACAGTCTCCAACACCAGGGAGTCCACTCTTGCCCACAAAGATCAGTTCCATCACCACCCTTTGTGCTCTGGGTGTCAGAGTTCAGAGCCTGATGTGAAGTCAACTGTCCCAACAAGGCAGGCTCTCTGATTTGCCATCTTCTTTACCTGCCCTGGAGCCTGCCTTCTTACTACACTATTGATGTTTTCCTTGGTCCTCAGTCTTCAAAATTCTTTTTATTTTGCCACTTCATTATAGGTAATTATGTAATAATCCACTTCAAGTTCTTTGTATGGTTAGGGTGAGACAGATGGGGCAACAGTGGGCGAATGGATGCATGTGCCTGTTTTTTTTTTTTTTAAAGACTTTATTTGGGGGGGGCATGAGTGGGGGCAGGGAGGACCAGAGGCAGAGGGAGAAGCAGGCTCCCCACTGAGCAAGGAACCCGACACAGGGCTCAATCCCAGGACCCCGGGATCATGACCTGAGCTGAAGGCAGATGCTTAACCGACTGAGCCACCCAGGCGCCCGCATGTGCCTGGTCTTTTCCCCTATGAGGGGAATTAGCCCCACCCTGTTCAAGGACATGTCCCAACTTCTGGATAAAGCTCCCATTGCCTGGATATCACCTGCAGTTGGCCTCATTCTCAGGGGCAGCTGGGGAGACCTCTTCAAACCACAAAGCCTGAGGCATGTGCCTCATGGACCACTGCAACCAAGAGTGATCACAAAGCGGCTTGACAGATGCCCCATCAGGTCTCCTGTTCCCTGATGTGTGCCCCTACCCCACCCCATTACGAGTGTTTACAAGACAGGTTTGGTCTTAGAAACTGGAACAGGATTATTTTAGCCACATCCAACTTAAAACTTCTCAACTCCCCCATCGAACTGCATCTCATCAAACAATGAGGACGGATTTATTCAGTGGAGAATCCTGGCAGCTTCTCAGTACACTACAGAAACTACTCTAAAGCACAATCACATCTTACCAGGCGGCTGATTCCCATTGGCCACCCTGATTGCATCACACCTCGGCGATGGCCCCATGGTCCTGGCCTTGGAGGGGCTGTTCTCAGCCTGAGGTTTGTCTCCCCCAGCCGACAAGCCTGAACTCTTGCAGAGTAATGTATGTGCTCATTTTTAAGAAAAAGGTGACTCAGAGTTCTGGACACTGTTCTTTTTTCTTCCTTAAAAATAATACTGGAATTTTCTTCTTCTGAAAAGGAGTTTTTGCTCTAAGATGATACAAAATATGCTTTATTTAGCAATCTTTCCAAAATGATATAAAAGAAAGAAGGCTCTAATTTTGATTATCAAGATATATATGGTAACAATCTATTCTTTAGAATTGTTTAAATTGGTTAAAAATTGAGTCTTTTAAAGTACTACAGCTTGTAATTAAAAATACACATAGTAACTGAAATTAGACTTTAAAAATTCATTATTAAATTGTTGCTTTCTACTATTTATATGTAAATGGCTGCTTCTAGGTACCTGAAGTACAGTCATTTTCTTAACTATTTCCTCCTCCCGTAATCCTGTTCATATAATTAGTTTAAACCATGTTGCAAAACAGGACTTTGGATTGTGTAGGAAGGGGATGATCACAGAATTCTGAGACAGAGCATTCAGATTCCACAGCCAAAGAGTCTAAGCGAACTTTCATGCACCAGGATGAAAATCATCTGCTCCCGTGACACCTGTGCTCCAGGTGCTCCACACAAACACCACACCTCCAGGCCATCGCCCCACAGGGAAAGGTCCACAGAGAAAGGCCCGGTTTGTAGAGTGAAGACCTGGGTTCAAGCGAACAAGAAGCAAAACAGAACACAACCCAGATCCAGAGGCCACTGCAAAAGCCAAGTAGGAGAGCACACCCATGGGGACCCAGGGGGATGAGCGGGGTACCTGCAGACCTGGCCAGGGAAAGAGGGATGCCGAAAACCATCTTGGGGACTCATTAGTTTGAGAGACCTGAATTCAGTTGACTGAATGTAATAAATACTCTTATCTTCTGGGCATCCAGCATCCATCCACCCCTCTTTCTGACTCATTGCCTTCCTCCTTCCATATTTGGGGGGCAGTCAACCCCTCAGTCTTAGCCTCTGGGTTCCAATGGAGTCAATCCCATTTCCAGCTCAGTTCTGGTTTCTCAGACAATGACACCTGTCCAGGTAGCAGTCATGGGTTCAGGGCACAGGACTTCAGTGAGATCAATTAAGACCAGTCAGACTGAATTCTAGAACCTGTTTGAATTATCAAGAACGTAGATTTGCTCTTTGCCTCAGAAACTGAGCCTGAAGGAAAAGTAGGTAGAGCTCCCACACCACCATTAGTCCACTAACTAGGGGAGAAGATGTGGAAGAATGGGATCCACACTTTGGAATCAGAGCAAGGAGGTAAACGGGGAAACTAGACCCTAGCGATGTCCTCTGAGCACCTACTTCAAGCCACACCTGAAGCCATCCTGCCCCCTGAACTCTGCTGTTATGCCAGACCACAAATTCTTCCTTTTGCTTGAGCCAGCCTGGGTTGGGTTTCGTGTCACTTACAAGCAAGAGTCCGGAATGAAATCCTGAGATTCCCTGTCTTTGTGTTTACAAAATAGCTACAGAGCTGGGCCCGTGCCTAGTACTGAGGCTACCAGGTATACAAGACACAGTGGGCCTAGCCCTCAGCTGTCCTCTGCCTATCAGGGAAGATGAACATCAGCCCAGAGAAGTACACAAGGAATTATCATGTAGTCATGTGACACTCATGTTTCTTCCTGACTCAGACCTTCCAGTGGCTCTCCAGCGTGCTTGGGATAAAATCCAAACTGCCGCCATGTTGTATGAGGTCCTGCTAACCGCTCATCCCAAAGCCCGACTCATCCTCGCTCACCCACATCAGCTACACCGGGCTGCTTTCTGCTCCTCAACAAGCCACACCCATTCCCACCTTTACACTTGCTCTTCTCCTGAGCCTAGAAGGCTCTGCTTTCAAATCTCTGCATGGCTGACTTCTTCTTGACATTTACATCTCTGCCACATGTCACCACCCCCACCCCACCTCCGACACCCTCGCTGAAGTAGCCTCCATTCATTGCTGTGTTTCATTTTCGCCACTAACGAAATGGTCTCACTCATTTATTACTTGTTTGTTGCTTGTCTCCCCTTTTAGAATACCAGCTCCACGACAGCCGGGCTTTGCTTGCTCATTCACCACCATATCCAGGGTCTTTGGCCCAGAGGTACAAATGGGTGCTCCTCAAACTCTAGTGGGGTGAATAAACAATGCAGAGAGTTGAGGCCGAGTGGTCAAAAAGGAGAGGACACCTGGGCTTTCAGCTATGTGGGAAGGTCCCCGAGGAGCCTGAAGGACGAACACGCAGAAGGACAAGGGAAGGAAAGGCCCTTAGATGGAGCAAGCAGCATGGACAAAGGCACAGAGAGGTCAAGAGCTCGGTACCTGGACCGGCAGCAGCATTAGCAAGAAGGGCAGTGATGAGAGCTCAAGCCGGAGAGGCAGGTGGCCGAGAGCCCCGTGGGTCCCACAGTCTCAAGACTTTATCCCCAGGAGTGACCTGAGCTCTCCGGGCAGAGAGAAGAGAGGACATCCGTGTTACTAAGACTTACCCAATAAACGTGTACTGAGGAGGGGCCTGCTTGGTCCGGCCCATGATCCGAATGTCACAAATTGCAGCTTCAGTTGAATCCCGTGGGATAAATTTAATGCACAGCCTCTTTTTTCTAAAAGCCAATTCCTCTGAAGAAAAGGACAACAAGAAAAGGTATGAGTCTTCCAGAGATGCCAACATCTCTGTTCTGAATGCCGGGTCTCCTGTCACGTTCCCTTCCTGGTGGCAGGAGCGACTAGCCATCCAGGTCGCTGGGCTGCGCCCCTCCTGCCCTCCACAGGGTGCAGAGGCTGTGACTGTGGCGCGGGCACCAGTCGCCCTGCCCTGCATCTGGGACCTGACCCCAGGCACCCCTGCCGGGAAGGGCTCCCAAGGGCATGCAGAGCTGGAATAAACCCGTGGGGCTGGCTTCTAAAGGCCACAACCACCATCTGCTCACTGCTCAAGCCATCAGGGACATACACACAGGCACCCTGAATATTAACACTTTTGCCATGTGGACTTTTCTTCTTTTTCACTCTTTATTATGGGAATTTTCAAACATTTCCCAAAGTGGGGAGAACAACAGACTGAATCCACCCGGTCCCCTCATCCAGTTTCAACATTGTCAACAATGCACAAGCTGCTTTCGTCTCTCCCCCCGAATCCCTGGCGGTTTTGCTAGAGGATTTAAGATGAATCCCCACACCGTGTCATGTCACCCATCAATATCTCAGTAGGCATCTATGGCAAACAATTTGTTTTATTATGACCAGCAGGCTATTATCATACCTAACAAAATGAACAATGATTCCTTAGTATCACCCAGTAGATAGTCTACATTCAAGTTTTCTCCATTGTCTCAAAAATACCATTGAACTATTGCTTTGCGTGGCTCAAGATCCAAACGATGTCGATGCACCGAATATGGTTGTTAGGCCTCTTGGGTTCCTTTTATTCTGTAAGGACCTCTCTACCCTCCCCTTTCCTTCAGGCCACTGGTAAGTTGGGGAAATTGGGTCATTCTCCGGTATTTCCTGTGAACTGGCAGTTAGAGCAAAAGGCTTGATTAGATGCCAGTTAGATTATTTTTTTTTAGGTAGGAACGATACACAAGTGGTGCAGAGATGTCCGATGGCGTCCTGTCGCAAGGCACGGAGTCCAGCTCTGCCACCCTGCGTGGGTTCTGGTGGGGTCGGCCTGCGACCTGGGTCATAACAAGTCCCCAACAACTGTTCTTTGGGCAGCGTTTTCATCCCCTGATGACGGTTGCTTAGATTCATAATTTCACTGAAGTTTTCAAAATGGTGATTTTCTAATTCTGTGATTCCTTCTGTATTTATTAGCTGGAATTCTTCTACATAAAAAGTAACTTTTCTTCTTCAACTACTTGCTCTCCCTGAAAAAGCTTTGGTACAGGAAAGGAAAAATAAATACGTGTGATTCTTTGCTCTTATTTATTAAATCTTAAAGCAATGAGCTGGCGATCTAGCAACCTCCAATGGTGACTAACCAGGTGTTTTTTGTTTGTTCATTTGTGGTTTTTAAAGATGAATTCCAATCAGTTGCAGACACCGGATACAGGAGTCAGGTGTACCTGGGTTGAAATCCCAACTCTGCCATCAGCTCTATGATCTTAGGCAAGTGACTTAATTTCTCTGAGCCTAGGTTTCATTATCTGTAAAACAGAGTTAATGAAACCCCACCCCAAAGGGACGTTGGGTGGATGAAATGTGATAACACTTCCTATGCTTCACCTAGCCCAGCGCCTGGCACGCAGTAAGTGCTCAATAAAGCATAGCCATGAATGTTCTTATCATCATTACTACCGGTAAGCCTCCGGGGCACAATTTATGTCAGCGTTTGGCATTGACTTTCAAGACCTTTCACTTCTGGGGCAGGAAGTAAGCACACTCAAATCAGACACCGAGTGGGGAGGGAAGGACAGTCACGCCACTGGTCCTGGCTTGACCAAGGGGAGATTACCATCAGTCGTGTTGTCTTATTGTTGACTGGGGGGAGGGTGTCTTTTAAAGAGCCAGGTAGAAACTCAGAAACTCGGTGGGTTCTTTTCCCAGGCAAGGAAACTGAGGGCTAGATCAGATACATGAGCTATGAGTAATAATGTCCTGAATCCAGACCCCAGACATTATACCCTACAAGACAGGGATGGTATCCTGGAGGAAAACACCCATACCAACACCGCAACTTCGAAAACTATTAGCTGGTACGATCAGACCTGGGAAAGTGTGAAGAAGGTGAGATGAAAATGCAGGTCTATTACTTGCTTTTGCCACGCTGCTCTTTGCTCTATTCCTCCGTCTACAGCAACTCGGGGTAAGAGATGAAGCCACTAATTACACATGCTTAAACAGGCCTAATTTTAAGTAAACATATTATACAGAGTCAATAGAAATGTGTTCAGTCATGCTAATGAACACAGGGAAAGGATACAGCACTTTACTAAAACAAACAGTCTTCCAGTTTCTAAGTACTGTGTGGATAGCAACAAACTATTTTAAATTCATTACAGGAGTCTCATCTTTTTGGCTGACTTTATAAAATCGGGGCCTTAAATGCACTGAGACTTCACAGAGCTGACCACAGGTTCATCCGGTCAGCCTGGGCTCACCGTGCCCCCTGGGGACAGGCTCCAGGAAATGACCACACAACCCAAAATGAACAGGCTGCCCTAAACCCACCCTCCTTGTATGATAAGATGCTTGTTGGTGATGCCAAGACCTGCCCTCAGAATGCCCACGGGCAGCAACTGTCAGGGGGAAGAGGCCTCCCACCCAGGACCACCGGGGTCCCACCACAGCTGGACCACAGGCCCAGGCAGGACGCAGCCCTGGGCCTCCTCACTTAACTGGTTCAACAAATTAAGAGGAAAATGCAGAATGGGAAATCCCCTTGTGGCTCTAGAGTCTATCAATATAAAGACATTATAAGTCAATTAGTTGTCAAAAATGAACACCAATGCAAATTTTGAAACTAAGAAAAGCACGAGGGAGAAGTAGGAAATTAATACAAGTCTACAAGGCAATTTTAGCTCCTAGGCAGACAAGTCGTATAAGAGTAAGCAAAAGCAGCAAGCAAACACTTGTGAAAATGTTCAGCCTTGCTAATAAATAATGACATGAAAATTAAATAAAATTAGAACAGTAAAACTGAATAAAAATTTAAAACCTATGCTGGCAGGACTGTGGAAAACAGGCACAAGCCTGTATCATTAGTGGCACCGTGAAGTGGTATTTCTGGAAGTTAATTTGGCAACAGAGAATAATAAAGCTTATCTGTATGAAGCCCATCCTCTGAGCAAGGCACCGTGTATGGTAGGTGTCTCAGGTGATTCACAAGTGAATTAAACATGGATCTTGCCTTCAAAGAAAGAGGTAAGTAGTGCAGACGTGCATAAAACATGCAAGCAGCTAAAATGCAAGCTTTACATTATGAGGTAGATACTAATCCCCCCATTTTACAGATAAGGAAACCGAGGCCTAGAAAGGTGAAGTCATTTGCTTGGGGCACTAAACCTGTAAGTGGCAAAGCCAGGCAGTCTCAGGTGGGTCTGACTCCAAAGTCCAAGTGCTGCCCGCCCTAGGCCAAGCCGCAGTGTGTCCTGACAGAGTTGAGGTGGGAAGTGAGAGACAGAATCTATTCTTCCTTTGGTTTCTGGCCACTGTAACCTGTGGTGCTTCCCTCCCTCCCTCCGTCCACTGAATGTGTGCTGAGCCGGGTATGATGAAAAGCAGCAGAGAAAGCAGATGGTCCCTGATCTCTCTGACGAGAGAGAGCTCTCTCTGATTACGCTGTGATGCAACTCCGTGTTTTCACGGCCAGGTCACCCACCAGACTAAGCTCCCAGAGGGAAAGGCCAGCATCTCAGTCAGTTGCCTTCTCTCACAAAGCCTGCGGTGCCTACACAAGGCATTCATCAATCTCCACTTACTGTGGAAGAGAGAGAGCTTGCTTGAAACTGGTATCTGGGGTCAGAGACGGTTTCATGCAGGGGGCAGAATTAAAGCTCAACCTTGAAAGATACATGGTGTGGACACTCAGAGTTGAGGGAAAGGGCTTTTCAGACAGGGAAAAAAATAACGAAGCAAATAAGTAGAGCCAGGAAAGAAACAAGGGTGAAGAGCGCACAGTGAGTGCCTCAGTTTGGGTAAAGTATAGGGTGCTTGAAGATGAGGAAGACGTTTCTAGAAGAAGGCTGGAGCAGACCGTAGAGGACCTAAGACCCAGTAGCCTCCAGTACTTGGAAACGCATCACAAGAAAATCCTTCAAAATCGATGCATACCCAAACTGGTTTATAGATTCAACACCACTCCTATCAAAATACCAGCTAGCTTCTTTGCAGAAATGGACTAAGCCTAAGATTCATATGGAAATTCAAAGGACCCAGACTACCCTAAATAATCTTGAAAAAGAAGAATGAGGGTGGAAGACTCATACTTCCTGGTTTCAAAACTTGCCACAAAGCTACCGTCCTCAAGACTGTGTGGTATTGGCATGAGGAAAGACATACAGATCAATGGAAGAGAACTCAGGGTCCAGAAAAAAACTCACATTTATGGTCAACTGATTTTCAACAAGGATGCTGAGACAATTCCATGGGGGAAAGAATAGTCTTTTCAAGACATGATGCTGGAACAACATGACATTCACATGCGAAAGAATAAAGGAGGACCCCTATCTCACACCATACACGGAAGTTAACTCAGAATGGATCAAAGACATAAGTGTAAGAGCAAACACTACAAAACCCTCAGAAAAAAAGAAAAACAGGCAGTGACCTTGAATTAAGCAATGCTTTCTTAGGTATGACACCAAAAACATAAGCAACAAAGGAAAAAAATAAACAAACGAAACTCCATCAAAATAAAAAGCTTGTGTATTTCAAAGGACATCAAGAAAGTGAAAAGAAAACTCAAAGAATGAACATTTTGCAAACCATATAATTAATAAAGGGCTCATATCTAGAATATGTTCAAATATTTATAACTCAGTAATAAAAAAGACAACCCAATTTAAAATGCCAGAGGATCAGAATAGACATTTCTCCAGAGAAGATAGACAAATGGCCAGCAAGCACACAAAACTATGCTCAACACCATTAACCATCAGGAAATGCAAATCGAAACCACGAGAGACCACTTCGTGCCCAGTAAGATGGCCAGAATAATAAGAACAAGTGTTGGCGGAGATGCAGCGACACCGGAGCCCTCATGCGCCGTTGGTGGGGATGTAAAATGGCACTGCTCCTTTGAAAAACAGTCTGGCAGCTCCGCTAGAAGTTTATATAAAATATAGAGTTACCATATGACTCTGGCAGTTCCACTCCTAGGTACGGCCCCACGAACAATGAAAACATGTGTCTCCACAAAAACCTGTATGTGAATGTCCACAGCAGCACCGGTCTTAACAGTCCAAAGTGGAAACAACCCGAATATCCGCCAACTGAATGGGTCAGCAAAATGCAGAAGTCCACAGAACGGAATATGATTTGGCAACAGAAAGGCATAAAGTACTAATACATGCTACAACATGGATCTACCTTGAAAACGTTATGCTTGGTGAAAGAAGCCCGTCGCAAAGGACCACATGTTGTAGGATTCCACTTACATGAAATGTACAGAACAGGCAGGTCTGTATAGAAAGTAGATCAGTGGTTGCCCAGGGCCGGGAAGGGGTGAGAAGGGGCAGGTTGGAGAGGAATGGGGAGTGACTACTAATGGGTACAGGATTTTGGGGGGGGTGTGATGAAATGTTCTAAAATTAATTGTGGTAAGAGCCACACAACTCTGTGAATACCCTAAAGACCACTGAATTGTATATTCCAAATGGGTAAATTAATGGTATGTGAATTATATCTCGATAGAACTGTTACCAACAACACCTGATGCATAAATGTATCAAATCTATCTGTAAAAGGCACTTAACCACATGCGGCGACAGGGTCGCACGGTGGTTAACAGTAGGGCTGGAGTCAGACTCCTGTGTGTCTTCTCGTGACTCCCTTACTTCCAGACGTGTGATCGTGGATAAGTTCTGCAAACCCTCAGGAGTTACTGTGTCCCACTGTCCTCACATGGGATGGGTATAACAATACCCATCTCTGAACAGGGGTCTTCTGGAGATCCAGTGACGTCAGGTACGTAAAGCATTTACCACGGGGCTTAGCATCTGGTAAGTCACCTACCACATATCAGCTAGTATGATTATTAGCTAATACATCTAATAAGAAAAGCAAAATGTCCAAAAGTGAGAGGACTATTAAGAAAACAAAAATATGCAATACAACGGACTTGACTTGTTTCGAGAAAATGACAGCTGAGTGGCAGCTGAGTAGATAAACAAAGTCTGGTCAGTACGAAATGCTAGCAAGAAAACAGCGAAAGATTACGGGTCCAAAATGGGGCTAACTATGGAAAGATAAAGTATGCGTGACAAAGAATGAGATAAAGGATTTCATAAATGAATCATGGGTAATAAAGAAAGGACTCTTTGTTTTTCATTTACTGCTTCACTGCTGGAGACTTCCTAAAGTTAGTGACAGTAATTAAAAATAAAACAAGTTAAGTTAAATCAAAATGAGGAGGCTCAAATATCCAGAGGTTTTCCAGCATTATTTAATAACCGACAGGCATGACAAGAACGGCAAAGCCCTTCCAGATCCTGAAGAAGCTTCGGTTGGTCGGTGATCCGCTTTTGCTCACTGTGGCTCAGGGGTCAGCGTATTCATTCAGATTCGATCCTGTGTCCGCTAAGGTGCAGTCTTTCTGTTTCTGGCTTTTCTTGTGTGCTCCAAGAGCCAAAAATAAGGACATTGTTGCACTTATATTCCTTGGGCGTCTCTGATTTTTTTTTTTCCTTTTGCTTCTGGGTCTCGTGCCAAGCTTGGCTTCCACGACACCAGAGGATGTGGACTAAGTAGGGACTATAACCAGTTTCACCGTTCCATTCCTGAGTGAGCCGATTCAGCAGGGAGCCCATTCTAAGAGAAAAGGACATTCTGTTCATTTACATGCTGCTACCCAGAACACCACAAACTCCTCGGAGAACCAAGTCAGACACGCGGCAAAAGCAGCAGGGTTTATTCACAGGCATGCAGCAAGGCCTCCTAAAATGTTCCCAAAGAAAAATGCACACACAAAACATCTAAAAATATACCTGGTGGAAGAAAAGTCCCATTGTGATGAGTGGTACTAAAGGGAGACTCACGTGTGTCCACCGTCTCCTGAATTGGGATGAAGCCTACAGGCAGAGTGTCCTTGATGTCAATGAGCTTCATATCCACTAACACGTTCCCTAAATGACTCTTGGGAAGAGAGAAAAGAGATACAGACTATTAATCTGAACACCCCTGTGGTGGGTTTGCCATTTTGGCTTCGAGATGCATATTTAACACAATGACTCATGCAGCTTTACTACAGCAGGTTAATTAGAGTAGGTGCTACTTAATGTTCCCCAGAGGCTATGCGGGGACTCGGGTGGCCCCTGGGGAGGAGCTTCATCTGCAGCACCTCAAAGCCACTCACTCAGACATGGCTTTGGTTAGCTAGACAGCAACCCAGGAGAAGCGTGAGACATAACCCAGCAGAGGGCAGCTGTGCACGCATGTCCTGGGACCAGGCTGCCACTCAGCCTGGAGCATGGGCTCTCGGGGGCCAGCAGGTTTTAGAAAAGAGCACATTCCTAGGGTAGTCACTGCAGCAGGGGAGCGCTGCGTCAAAGCCTACCAGATCGCAAGTCTGCACACTGACACACATTTCGGTTGCTGGATATGTTCTGGAAAATGCCAGGAATCACAAACTAATACAGACTGAAAAGCCCTGCTGCCTCAGTATTACACATCTACTAAAATGACATGCACAAGGGCCTCTTAAAAGTTTCTACTTAGTGGTAGCATAAGGGGTCCACAGTGCGCGGTTTCTGTAACCAGTGCAAAAATACAATCTGAAGGCAGCACACACCATTCTGTAACTGCAGGAGAGCATCCTCTGCAAACACACCGGCATTTGCTGCCCACATTTCTGGCTGAAATGCTCCGTGCCAACACTAGCTCGGAGAGCCAATCAAGGAATTCTTACCATCCGAACGCTGCACTATCGTCTCTCTTGGCCCCTCTCTATTTTCCTTCCTACCAATTTATAACGGCACATCTGTGAGGTTCTTTCTTCAGTATCTGTCTCACCACAAGAGTTCAAGGGCCACGAGGACCAAAACTGTCTGTTACTACTATACATCCAAGCGTAGCATGCTTCTAGGCACATAGTAGGTGCGCAATTATTATCTACTGAATAACGTAATGTTTTGGGGCACATTTTCAACTGGGTGGGCCAGAGCTGGAAATCAAATTGGATTTGCTTAGATGACAAATCTAAACTGTATCAATAAAAACAAAAGTATACTTAATAAATACATTATAAACCGAAAGCTCACAAGTGAAATAAATTCTTCAAACTTCACTATGACAGTCAATGTGTCAAGTGTCAACTGTCACCAGGGCTTTTATGGCACTGTTGTCACAAAACTGTTTCTTTCTCTCACAATTACTGCGTTTGGCGACTATTTTCTATTATTACATTTCAGGTAGCTGCGTCTTGGGGAAACAATGCACAGCGCAGTGCAGCCCGTGGAACGTGGAACCTTACTAATGCAGAATAAATCTCTGACCGTGTAGAAAAGGTTTGAAACGTTAACCTAACTCGAAAACATCAGCTGCTTTCAGAATTGCCTAATCTAATCTATCATAATTTTTTCTTTTCCTGGCAGTTGCTTTTCCGTGTCATCACTGCTTTCTGCATTGAGAAATTAACAACTGGGTCTGTTTTCCTGCCCTGCAGATGGATGGGCATTCATCAATATCCTTCTCCAATGTCTTCGACTTGACAAGTTGGGTTTTACACAAGTCAACTGCAAACCACTTAGCGACCTCACCCTCCACACTCTACAAATGCCCTGATCATAAAACCAGAATGTCAGTGGTGTGGCCATTGAAAAAAAAAAGCGTAAAGAACCCTCCCATGCATACAAAATGGGAGGCTGCACTGTCAAGGCTTCCCACAGCCCAAGTGTGGTCCCTCTGTGCATGGGGCTGCTGCTGTACTGGGTTTAATACAGTAGGTCTGCGACACCTCTCCCCTCCCCCATCCCATGCTCTCTTTCATTTCCTCCTCATAAATATGAAGAACGTATTCCCAATCCTTGTTGAGCAAATGATTCATGCCAAAAGCCCAATATGCACTGACTCAGGGTATTTATACTGTCTCTGGTAGCCAGTACTTGCTAGTATACTGTAATTATTTTTGACAACCTTGCATTTAAGGTAGCCACAGATAACCAACTTAATATTCAAATGTTCATAAATCCTTCTGTTTAATATCCTCCCTACCTAATCTATGTACATTATTATTACAGGTAATGCAGAAAGTACAGGGCATGAAAAGTGCAATTAATCTCGATCCTTCCCCAGGAAGCAATGTCACTCCAAAGCCAGGTTTCCGTATTAATAGCATTATTGGGGGAAAGGAACTTAGGTTCCAAAGGAGTGTCCCCACACTCCTACATTGGGAGTCTCGAGCTGCCTAATTAAGAATCTGTCCAGTCTTGAGATCCCACGTCCCTCCTCTACAGTTGTAAAAATACACACTATGCAATGTCCTGGTTGTGAACAGCAGGGCCAGGACAGACCGGCTGTAGTGGATTAAAACACACCCATTCCTACTGTGCTCTTGGGCTGGCAAGTGGGGACCTGCAACCCCCCTGAGTGGATTCCTCTGGATCTCACTAAAGGACTCAGTCGTTCTTCTTCTGAAAACAAAATGCACCGACTTCCCACCCTCCTTCAGAGGGGAGGCAGGGACTTCCCCCACCGCCCTCACCCTCCTCCCCCAGCCCTTCCTCACACCCTGCCCCACCACACCCAGCCTGCAAGGGGTAAGGCTTACAAAGTGAGCAGTCAATAACATCTGTTTCACGTTCAACAAATGCTGATGAACTCGATACATTTTCCATCATACATTTACGCAGGACACTCCAAATTAGCAAGTACTGGTGACTTCTCTCTGTCATTTTTAGACTTGTCACTGTCCCCAACTCCAAGGGATCCGGGACTCTTTTGGCCTAGACTACCAATACCCCACAGCCTTCAGGAGAGATGCAAAACAAACCCCCCAAAGACAAAAAAACAAAAAACAACCAGAACTCAAAAACAATCAAAGCGATCGTGGCTGTCCTCTGAGGCCACAGGTGGGAACTGCAGCTTCAGTCAGGAAAGGTGGGGGCTGAGCAGAGATCAGTAAAGAACATCGTGAGACCACTGGGCACGGTGAGTTGTGCAAATCCTCAGGAGTCTGTCCTTGCTGCCTGAGCAGCAGTGAATGAACTGACCTGCACAAAGCGGCAGCCAGCAGACAGAACAGAGGTGACAAAAGCTAAAAATATAAACAGTTTCAAAAACAGGCTTAGGTCAACTCCAGGGACAAAGGGGCGTGAGAGTCCACTGCATGTGGATATGGATGCAGGGGTGGAGGAATGGAGCAATGGGGGGAGGGTAACCACCCCTATCTGCTCGAGCCCACAGCCGGAAAGGCAACCTGGCCTCCAGACTGTTCCTCAATGTCTCCTCGGGCTGCACGATGAACCCCAGGGACCTGCTCAGACTCATTATAGGCTCAGCTGCCACCTTCTCACCTGTATGTGAAGGATTTCTAGTGTTTAGCACCAGGACTGTCTCTGCCCCATTAGAAACTCTGGACTTTACAGCAAGCATATATTACTCTCATAATTAGGGGGAAAAAATTAAAGCGATGTCTTCTCCCCCAGTCCTGAATACATTAGGAATAATGTTCCTAACAAAGACTTATCAATAAACAACAGGAACGGCTGATGGAAGAGAGTGCAAGCCAGAGGATCACGTGACTGTCTACATGCAGACAACACTGAAGGGGCACACAAGGACCCTGGGATAGGACCACAGCTGTGTCGTATATGATGGGGAGAAGACTTACTGTTCCCCTTTCACACTTCTGGATGAGGATGTTTGAAATATTTTTTTCTTTTTAAACCATGAGCATATATTACTGTCATAATAAAATTTATAAAAATAAATTAATAAAAACATTCCTCCCTCTTTTTTTTTTTTTGCATTAGAAAGAGACAATAACATTTAGGCCAAAAATAAAATGTCACTCCTGAAAATGAAAATCTGACTGCACCCTGTTTGGGGCTAGGGAACACAGGTGACCTTGGGCAAGCACAAAAACTCTCTGATCTCAGGAAAGGAGCTAATACTTCAAGAGATTGTCTGAGGATGGAAGAGGTTTATTTGCAGAGTGCCTAGGACAGGCCTCCCTCAGAGCTGATCTGTGTAAATCCTCACAAAAGCTACTTCCCTTTTTTTCTAAGCCACTCATTAAAACATTCTGTTGGAAAAGGCTTAAGAGATAGCTTTAAAACATCCTAATTTATGGGCCCAAGAGTTCAGAACAGCATACTGAAAGAAACCTGCACACGTGGTAGGTACCTACCTGCAGAAACAATGAAATGTCAAACGTCACAGAGACTCAGGGAGAAAGTCAGTCATTTTGGAAACAAGGCCGTGTCTGGGGAAAGAAGTGGTCGTGGAGCTCTGCCTCTGCATGCTGGCCAGGTTTAAATCCCGCTGCACAGGCAAATACTCATGTTCACACCCCCCTGTGATTTGTGACTTACAGGAAAGCTAGGCAAATGACGGCTGGGAGAGAAATTTCCTGGTTCCCTTTTGAGAACACATTTTAATGGAATTCACTGTACACTTGGGTACATGGTTAATACTACTGTTAATAAATGAAACACAGCGCTAGCTCCTGATTCTACCCAGTTCACTAAAACCACAGATTAATATGGCAATGAAAATTAACCACCACCACCACAACAAAAACAACAACAAAAAAAAAAAAAGAAAAGAGGAAATTTCAACCAGGCACGTAAATGCCTTGTGCTCACTCAGCAAACGGACACCACTACTAGACTTACATTTTCTTTGGAAAATGATCTCGTGAAACACAGGTATCTGGTAACCTTGGATTTAAATAAGCCGTCTTTCCAGAGGTCAGCATCCACACCATCTGCTGTCTGTGCAACCTGCACCAAAGAGACAGAAGAGGAGCGCAGGTGAGGCAGGCTGGAACCGAAGGTGTACCTGAGCAGCTTCTTCATACCTGCGCCAATTAACACCGGCCCGGACTCTCATAGCATCTCATTAGTTCATTTTACCAGGCGCCGGGAAGAGACTTTCCAAAAGGGGGAAAGGGAGAGGGTGAAAAATACAACTTCTAAAAATACTGTCCCCAGGGAAGCCATTGATTAAAGACACCCTGACAAAAATGGTTCTAACGAGAAAAGAGCAACTTTTGTTGCAATGGACCAAGGAAGGACTGGAGAAGTCAGCACATTAAGTTGCTCATTACCCCTTACTCAGGGGACAGCAGAGGGTGCAGAAAAAAGTCCAATGGGGTGTGACATGCCACCTGAGATGGGCACTGCCTGCGAGGAGACGGCCGCGGCTGCTTGCTCCAGGACCCTGGGGCCAGCCGGGGTGCTTCGTCATCGGGACCCTAGTGGGGACTGGGGGCGGGGTGCCAGGGAAACTCGCTCCTTGCTGTGTCTTCTCCCCACGAGCTCTGCAAGGGGTACTCAAGGTCGGAAACTGTCTCATGATAGAAAAATAGAAAAGATTCAGCTCCTTGTTTATAGTCTAAGAAGCCATTCTCCCGTGCGCGGCTATAGACGTGTTCCTCTCAGAAGCATCCAAGCATGAAGCCAGCCTTGAGTTGAGTCTTAAAGGACCTGTGTACTGGGCTGGGGGTTGGGGGGCCTCGTGTGAAGACTCTTGCTTGGGGGCAAAGAGTGGACAAGGAGATTGGAGAGCGCGAGAGAAATGGCTTGACGAGGGCAATACAGCCCCCGTCTCCTTCCAGACGGCTCTATTCCTGGCCTGGCAGGGCGTGCTCTGCTTTCTTGCCCAGCAGCCCGGCAGGACGGCACTACCGGTCCAGGGTCTGTGGCTGGCACCCCCAGGGGGCACAGCCGGGAAGACAGAGGGAGCGGCAACCCGTTTTGGGATGAGCTCCAAAGCCGTCTGCTCTCTGTCGTCCCCCTGGCTGCCCTGTTGAGGTTTAGACTTTGGGATGCGGTCCTTGATCTGACAAACTGCTGAAAGCACCTCCATGCTTTGCACAAAAACTGCCCTGATTCAGCCCCATCCCGAGTACACGCTACACAGCATGCCAGTGGCCTGAGGCTGTCACACGCGCAGGGCGGGGGCATGTTGGGCTGTGCTGCCAGGACATCCCCAGGGCCCCCCACAGCCATGTTCTCTGAGGCTGCCTCAGAGAGGCCCAAATGCCAACTGGCAAAAGAAAAATGCCTCCCCCCCCCCCAAATGGAACAATTGTAAATTAGCAAATGCAACACAGGAAAAGAAAGGTCCTTATGCTACATTTGCAAATATGTGTGGCCTGAAACCTGGAGGAGGAATGGTATGGGGATAATTTCAGGAACCGCTGGCTCCAAGTATGTCACCCCCATAGAAAGACATGAAATAGAACAGCATCAGGCCTCCTCAGCACTTTTCCCCATAATGGTCTTCCATCAAGTTTCTTGGAAAACATGAGATTTCAGGCAGTGGCACTAACTCTCTGCCACCAAGGATCCCCTTGGTCGATTTTCTCCTGCGGGTTCCAAGTTTTGAAAGATTTTTGTTTCCCCAACTGTCTTTTTTCTGTACTTCCTCAATTCTAGGACGTAGTCATTTAAACCCACGGATTTAAAGAATAAACCTTCAGGAAAAAAAGAATAGGATGTCAAAAGGTACAGATCTATTTTAAGATGCATTCCAATTTCAGAACCATTAAGATGTGAAAAAAAAGATGCTATAGGAATAAGGAAATAAGGGAACCTATATGGTTTCTCTATAATAAATACATTATCTTTAATAAATTTAAAAAGAAGAGTCTGCAGAACACTGGAAGGCTGTGGAACCCCAAGCCAGGACCTCAGAAGACAGAGCTGTCTTTAACCTTCCACTAGAAAAGGAATGGAGTTCAGAAGGGCTCTCCTGGATATCTGGGGATTGCACTGGGAGGTGGGCGTACCCTAAATCAAGACTACTGTTTCCAGGGCTTGGAGATGATGGTTCCCTCCACTTGTCCCACTGCCTGAGTTTTCCTTTTTCTGGGTGAGAAGCCACCTCACTGTGATAAAGAGGCCGGGGCAAGTGTGTAAAGAGAAAAAGCTCGCAGCAGGCCTGCCCCTTCCTCAGAGGCCCAGACAGTGGTGGTCCTCCAACCCGCACTGGAGAAGCATTAAAAATGGACCACCAAAGGCCTGGCTTTGCCCTGAGGCCACAACTCATTTGCAATGAAGTAAAAATGTGCAATGCCCTCCAGCCTCAACCAAGGGGAGGTGAGGAGGGTGGTGAGAAAGCGCGTGAGCAAGCATAAGCGTGTGTGTGTGTGTGTGTGTGTGTGTGTGTGTGTGTGTGTGTGTGTCTGGGCAAGATGCAGAGCTGCCCAAAGCCTGGACCTAGGCAGGGGATGGACTGAGGTGAGCAGTGAGAAGACCCGGGGTCCCAGCTCATCAGGAGCACTAGGGGAGTGGGCCTGGTGTAACAAAGCCAGGCATTCCCAGCCTTGCCTTCCCCGTAACAATAAGATGTACCCAGAAGCTGCTTTCTAACACAGTCACATAAAGATGTTTACTAATCTTAATTCTTCCCATCCCAAATTAGATGAGCTAACGACCTACAAGATACATTATGTATGAGGCAGGTAGCTGCATGGGCGCCCCTGCAGAAATTCACATCTCAACTCTGACCATGAGACCCCAGCAGCCAGCCTCTGAATCCCGGGACAGGAAAGGCAAGGTGGGCCGAGGGCTGCAGGAAGACGTGCTCTAGGTGCAGCACAGCCCATGAAATTAAGAGGCCGACTTGAACTTGACACAGGATGACTGAAGCAAGCCCCCTCCTCCTGGGGGCACTGTGGTTAGAGATGATGTATGTGCAAAGCCGTCTGCCTTAGTGCACACCAGGGAGCACCCACAAGGCCAGCGCTAACATGTCTAAACCCAAAATGGAGACATCTCGTCTCACATTGAACCAAACCTTTAAAGTGATGTCATGCTACATCAAGATGCAAAAAGTCCTAAACTGTCACGCTGGGGTTCAGCTGGTCCTCTGGGATTCCCTCCCCATCTCTGGGACTCGATTTAGTTTTCAAACACAAGTTATACACATGTGCAGTTAATGTTTACCTGCCCCCTGCTATCATGCCGCTGGACCATAAGCTTCACAAGGAAAACGGCGACCCTCACCTCTCGCTTGTAGTAGGCATAGGGCCTGGTACGTATGAGCTCAATTAAAACTTGCTGAAGGAATGAAAGAATCAGCCATTCAATCAGGAGCAAAATGTGAAAAGCTATACACCTTGCTAGCTCCCCAAGTAAGGTAATCTCAAAAAATTTTTTAAAGATTTTATTTATTTATTTATTTATTTGAGAGAGAGGGGCAGGGAGGGAAGGAGCAGAGGGTGAGAGACAAGCAGATGCCACACTGAGCACAGAGCCCCACATGGGGCTCGATCCCACGACCCTGAGATCATGACCTGAGCCCAAATCAAGAGTCAGACGCTTAACTGACCGAGCCACCCAGGCGCCCTGGTAATCAAACATTTTAAAATGAAGTTTCCAGGATATAATCCCTTCAGCTGAGTGTATCCCCTTCAGAATCCCCACTCTGTGAGGCCATATACCCATTCCAACGATGAGGTCCCTTATTCTTCCGGTCATCTTGTTGGTATCCTGCCCTGTTCCCCAAATCACTGGAGTATGTCCAATGCTGTCACTATGCCTTGAGTATCTGTTATGTGGCTTCACACGCGCGCACACGCGCACACCCACACACATACACTCTCTCACACACTCTTTTACACACACGCACGCACACACCCACACAATACACTCTCACACATACACTCTCTTATTACACACTCACACACTCATTCTGCTCTCTTATACACACTCGCTCTTACATGCCCTCCCTGTCTTTCCAGAGTCTCCCTGGGTACAGGAGCTGCCTCTTGGGAGGAGTACGTGGGCAGTGACAGCCTGAACACATGGCTTTGTCTCCCTTCGCTGCCAATATTCTTCTCAAATGACAACCATGTGGAGAAGGTATGAACCCACTAAAATAAAGAGCAAGAGCAGAGTATGATGCAAGAGAGATGCCAACAACTGTTTGGAGATGTGGAGTGAAAGGCTGGGCTTTGGCAAAGTGGAGTGGGGGTGACATCTAAGGACCTGGAGGGACTAATGATCTGTCCCCAGACCCTGGGCCCCAGAGCTACCAGATTCCATTGGGGTGAGGGTGGGGGCTGTGGGGGTGGGTGCGTGTAAGTTTCCAGCTGAAATAGGAAGATCTGAACAAGGTCTATAAACATGGCAGTTATACTCCCAGATCCCTGCCCCCATTTCAGATGTATTTTCTGCAGAAATGGAATCAGTAAGGCTCAGGACTCCAGAACACCAAGAGGAAGTAGACTCCAGACTGAAAACAGGGGGGTAACTATGCACACTGAATGGTGGGCCCTCCCCTGCCCGCCACCCCACCCTGCTCCCACCAGGCTTATCCTCCTTCCTGCTGCTGGCACCTCAGCAGCCAGGGGTATCCCCTAAATGCTGGATATCGAAGGATTCATCTCTGGAGCCACTAAAGAATGCCAGAGAGCGGATCGGCACACCCAGACTCTGGGGTCTCCTGCTCCAAAAGCCACTTCCCGGCTACATCACCTCGTGAACCGCCCACCAGCCGACAGTCCCCACGCCCACCCCCGGCGCTCCAACCTCGTTCTTAAATATAAACTAACAACAGAGGATCACCAGGTGCTGGGGGTAAGTCTCAAATATGAAAGACAGGGTCCAAACTAGAAAAACGGGCATCTGAAGGTAGCACAAATAGTATGAGGAAACAAAGTTAAGGAACAAACAACCAAACCTATAATTCACGTAATTGTAACCACCACTCAATAATGGAATATTGTGAAAAAAAAATTCTAAAGGGTCAATTTAAGAATAATATAAAGGGC